GGCGCTGGCCGGGCCACAGGCCCCGCCATCAGGGCTGCCCGGGAGCCTCCTGGCCGTGTCGGCCCAGCTGAACGCCTGCCGCACTGCCCTGCGCCTCTTCGACGACTTCGCCATGCTCAGCTACAGCTGTGGCTATGGGCTGGGCCCCAAGGTGAGCGCGGGGCATGGGGTGCAGCGGTAGCCTTCCCGACCACACCGCAGTCGCCAAGGGCTGTCCCCCGTGCTCCCCGCAGGATGAGGATGGCCTGGTGCGGGGGCTGTCGGTGCTCTGCAACCTGGCGAACCAGCTCTACTACCCCTGCGAGCACATCGCGTGGGCGGCTGATGCCGGCATCCTCCGCGTGGGCTCTCAGAAGTGGTGGACTCTGAGCACGGCGCTCTGGGCCTTCTCCCTCCTCCTGGGAATCCTGCGGTAAGGCTGGCTGGGGTGCCGCAGGCAGCGGTGGGAAGGAGACAGACAGGGAATGAATCGCATTCCCTGTAATCAGGGTAAAATGAAGGACCCTCTCTGCTGCAGAAGGGTGCTCATCCTCACGGATGTGGTTAATGCTAGAGAAAAAAACCTCCCCTTCGATGCTGTAGGAGAAATATAACTCTGTTGTCTTGTTTTCAGATCCCTGAGAATCTTGTTCCAGTTAAGAAGAAACCTCAGGCAGCACAAGCGGTATGATTTCCTTCTTGGGCTATACAGCTATTCTAGCCCAAACATATCTGTTCTCATTTGTGAGCTGTCACTAATTATTATTACATTATTGGCTATCAGTAATATTACACTTGCTTCCAGCAGTACATCTTTGCCTCTGAGTCAAAAGGAAATGAAAGCCAAAGCGAAGGCTGAAGTTTTGAGCATCCTCACAGACATGGCAGATCTCTCCAATGCAATCCACTGGCTGCCTCCGGGATTTCTTTGGGCTGGACGCTTTCCTCCATGGTTAGTAGGGCTCCTGGGGACCATATCTTCCCTGATTGGTATCTACCAGGCATCTAGAGGAGGAAATTCTGAAGCTGTATAAACCGTAATTAAGCTTCAGGAGCCTAATCTTTACATGGTAAAAATGCCTTTAGCGAGGCAGGGTGTATTTTAACTTTCTGGTGTTGATGATTGTGATTCCACTCATCCTGTAGTTGGGACTGTAGTCAAGATGTTTATTATAGAGAGGATTGTTTGCAGTTAACAATTTGTATCACTCTTCATCAGATAAACCTTTCAGGCGAATCCTCTGAAAATCAAGAAATCTCCTAGGAATGGTAAAATAGAGGGGAAAAAAGTCACTTCCTTCTTATGTCTCAGAAGACAAATACAACTCTCCAGTCTTCGCTGTCACTTAAAAGTGCACAAAGCCAGCGTTAGGCAGAAAAACGGCCACGGTTCTGTCACGCAAATCTTCTAAGGGACAGATCCTGTGAGTTCCACACTCAGTGCTTGGTGCCTGCTTTAACCAGGGAGGTGACCAACGTCGTGGGAGTTCCTGCTCAGATGTTTGGTGTTTGAGCCCCAGAGCAGACGCCCCAAGCACAAACAGGAGCAAGCAGATGAGGGAGGTGGTCGGGTTATTTTGTTTGCGACGGTTGTTTTTCTTTAGAAAGAAATAGCAACTGTAAGCAGTGCCTTGCGACTCTTTCTTCTAGTCTGTATTACTCATTTAAGGAGAAATACTGGAAATTGAGACTTCCCGGTTAAACCAGAAGCAGCGCTGAGCCTCCAGCTGTGTCTTTACGGAGTGCCACCGGGTGGAGCTCTTACCCCAGGCTCCGGCCACAGCCACTAGACTTTTTTTTTTTTTAAAAAGAAAAAGCAGCAAATTTATTAATCACCTTTCAAAGGACCAATCAAACCAATGCCAAGATGAGTTTTACAGTTATATTTCTAGGCGGTGCCAACAATAAACAAAACAAATACTTCAAAGGTGGCCTTGAGTGATCATTACTTCCGATAACTGGGCAAATGTCCTTTATCTGGTTCTAGAAAGCTCCAGAGAGTGCCGAGGCGGCAGAAAACGTTTGTGCTGTGTCGGCTGCAGCTCCCCATCTGTTACCAGCCTTCCTTCTCCTGAAACAATTCCGAGCACCTGACTAACTGTCATGGAAATGCATCTTTTGAAAACAGTTCTGCTTAGTCTGCGCGGTGCTTGTGCTCTCTGCAGCGCAGTATGGTACAGACTGCATTTCCAGGAGGTTTGACCTCTTTTTTGTGTGTGGTGGTGTTGTTGTTTTTGGCATGGAAATTATCTCCTGCCTGTGTTCAAAGAGCAGAGCGAGGTCTCGATACCCTTTATCCTTCGCCCCGTCTTTGCTGTTTATCTGGACCTTCACCCCGCCAAGTGCCACAGAAGACGCCTTCCTGACTGCGCTTAGAATTTGATGTCGGATTTACAAGCTGTGGTACAACTCGGAGGGTAGGCAGGCGTTATCTAGAAGAGACTCTCCTTTTTTCTCTAATCACGCCGCAGGTCTTGTGCCCGAACAGGCGGAGCACCCGGGTCCTGCTGCTGCGGGACAGCTGTAGCTGCTGCCCAGTCCTGTCACCCGCTGCGGTGGCTCATGCAGAAATTTAGTGTGGTTTTTTTTTTTTTTTAAATAAGAAATCAGATTTTATCTCTTTGTATTCTTAACCTCGTTAAACCATTCCTTCAGAACATGCTGTCCTCCTCAGCGTGAGATGAGGTGTAGCTATCACGATTGAAAATCACCTCAAATACACACACCTCTGATGCCAAATTAGCAAAACTAAACCACGCTTTTAATTTCCATGTAGAGAAAGGACGCTGTGAACTGGTCTAAGTGCGTTTGCTTCATCCACTTCCGCTCCTTCTGAGTGATTTTAAATTGCAGCTGGTGAAGCGCAGGACAAACTGAAACGTGCAAAGATAAAGCAAAATCTGGTAATTCAGAACTTCTGACATTGGCGTTTTCTGTAGAGTGGTTTTGGTCCCCACTGACACAGAATATTTAAGCACCTGTGGTGGCTACTGCTGACCACCCAGAGCAGCCCTCACTCTTTTTAAGCACAAGACCTTGCGTGGGCAGACCCGATTCTCCCCAAAATTGCTTTATTTCCCCCCTCTTTTCTGCTGCGACCATAACTGGGCACCCGCTTCGCCCCGTGCAGGAAAACATTTGCTGAGCAGGGCTGGTTTGTCCCGGCCGTGACCTCCCTTTGTCAGCAAGGCCGTTAGCGGACGAGCTGCCGATTCCAGCTCAGAAACCCCGACTCCGGCTTTTATGGCCCCTTTCTGGCCGGGTGACGCCATCAGCGCAACCGGGCAGGAATGGGTTAAGGGGCGGCGCATGCGCACACCCGCTCCCC